TTTTCTCATAATCTTTTTTAAATTTACATGAATATTCATTGTATTAGTTAATTTTATGATTTTCTTTCATAATTTTTTCTCTCTATTAACTTTTTTCCTATTATTTTCTTGTCTTTTAAAAAATTATTTTACTAAGAAAGTAGGGAAAAATGTGTCCAGGCCCCAAAAACAGAAACTTCATGTGCTGCAGCCCCTCCTACTTTCTCCCATGTGGTTCAGCCCCTTGAAGTGTGACATTTTGTGCTGCAGCCCCTTTTTAACAATTATTAGATGTAAACTTCTGAACCGAATTTGTCAGTCTCCCAGTCAGGTTCAGAACTAGAACAATAGATTGGAATTAGATATAGGCCTTGTGATTCTTAAACCAAAAATCAGAAAATCCAACCCAATAACATATAGTAAATAAATAGTTTAAACATGAATGCAACTCTTCGCTCGTGAGACACGCGATGTAATCAAATATATACTGACTCTCAAAGTCTTTCCGACTCTTGTTCTATATTTTTATCATAACCAATTTAACAAAATGAATATGTGAAATAACTTATTGTTGTCATGCATCGGGCTCGCAAGCCCCTTGGCACGGTGTAAGCTGTAGGACCATTGAATGTAATGCGTTATTTGGCTCAATCCACTACCAAAATGGTTAATCATGTTACACTTCAATCTCACAACTTAAAATATAAATACTACAAACTCTCACCCACCAATGAGGGACTAAATTTTGGGATGCTACAATCACCCCACATTAAACATGTGATGTCCTTGTCGCGGCATATAACAATTGTTCTGTCCCTGTATTGCCACCGGGCGATGTGGATTCTAGAGGTGATCCTATGGGTTCTAGAGCTAGCTCTCACCACACTCACGCGTTGTAGCACTTAAGTCTCACATAATACTTAGTTTGACACTTCCAACGAGCTACTGCTCTGATACCATTAGTCATGCCCCGAGTGCGCGAGCTCGTTGGCATGCTGTAAACCATGGGAGACACTGAGTGTAATGCATTGTTTGGCTCGATCCACTGCCAAAATGGTTAACCACGTTACACTGGGATCTCACAAGTTACATTATAAACACTACAAACTCTCACTCACCTACCCATGTGTGACTAATTTTGGGATGCTAAAATCTAAATCCAGATATGGACCTACATTTGTTTCAGTTTTTGATCCTACAGTGCTTGTTAGATTCTGATTTGGATAAAACATACTTTATTATTGGATTTGGGTTATACACAAATCTGAACTGAATCTAACTTCACTATGTCCCTACAAAACAAAAATTTTAGATTCTTCTCAAAGCTTCAAACATTGTTTTAGTTTTATTTTTGCACTTGGGACTCTTTGCCCTAAAGCTACAGGCTACAGCTATGAGTATCTTAAATCTACAGGAAGGAATATACACAAGGCCATTGTAGAAAACATGTACTCAGAAAGTGTTCGTGGTTAGCATTATTCAAAGAACATCCCTGAATGACATGCTTGCCTAACAAACACTTCAACATAAAAACATACAGTTGCTAAGATATGTCCTTGATTTATCTTTGTAGTGATTGCTTGTCTGCTGAATCTAGATACTTAAATCATCTTATTCAATTGATTATGGCACCAACCCTGTAACAACCTGTATCTATAATATCAACCAAACTAATGAAGCACCCACATACTGACAGCTGACATGCCAAAGATGATTAGCATACCTTTAACCTTTAATTGTCGAGCTCTAGTCTTAGAGATATTTCCCAAAAAAAAATTGATAAAAAAGATTTCCAACTTTAATCTTTTTATATTCTCCTAGGTTACACATTTATCTCATCAGGAAAGAAGAAAGCTAGACATCCCCTTACTGTCAAGTGGCACAAAGAATCTTATAGGTGATCATCTTAATTCTTAACTAATATATGCATTCTAATTTTTGTGTCTTACATTTTTTGCAACAGCATCCATGCATTCCACTGGTATTCCTTTCTCCATGAGCTAGTGAGCAGAAGTCACATGTACCCCCACGTCCCCACCTGAACTTCATTATTTTTCCTAAACCTGAGGTGGCTCTATAAGAGCACAAGCCAAACTTACATGTACCGAATTAAGCTTCACAAAATTATACCAAGTGGTATGCAGTAAGCATGAGGATAATGCACTCATATCCTATAGAAAAAACATAGTACCTTAGAAGTACAAATGTAACATATCACTGAAAAACAGAAGCATATGTCAGTTTGAAGGATTGAGGAGAGGGGATAAGGTTATTTTGGGGATTTTAGCTTAGCTGGCATCTAATAATTATTAAAAAGGGGCTGCAGCACAAAATGTCACACTTCAAGGGGCTGAACCACATGGGAGAAAGTAGAAGGGGCTGCAGCACATGAAGTTTCTGTTTTTGGGGCCTAGACACATTTTTCCCAAGAAAGTAATAGAAAACGTTAAATACACATAACTTTGAAAATTCTTGCAACAAACATATCTATAGCTTTGCTAGTTCTCTCAGCTACAAACTTCGGCCTTGACCCTGTCTATATACTATTTCCAAAAAAAAATTAATATGTATTTTGAACCACCGCTGCTAACTTTTTAGATCCGCCACTGAAGTCACCCCTTGGAACTTGATACGAGTCTGAGTCTAATTGAGTCCAAGTTCAAGTCGAGGAAACGAACGCGCGTACCTGAACTCCAAGAAGAAAATTCTCAGGCTTGATATTCCCTATGAATGACATGCTTCCCATGCAAATAGATAATGGCCCGCGCTAACGACGAAATATACTGAACAATCACCGACAAACGACGACGTTACGTTTATTGGAAATTCATTCGGATAACGGCAACAAGAGTATGATGAACTGACGCGCGTCGAGGCCGATGGGAATTAGACAGCACGAGACGAATTAATTTCAGGCAAAGCATTTTACTCTCGGTAGCAGCTCGCCTCTCGCCAAAATATTTGCACCTCCGCAGCTCTTTGTGAACTTCGCCTTTCGCCGCGTATTGAAACTTTACTTACTTGCTTGCGCATATATATTAGTTATTCAAACAAGATGGGCACAACCTTAGTTGGATCATAATCTTGTTGGGACAAACCCGGGGCTCAATAGAGCATGATCGCAGCAATAGTAGTGAAAATAGAGATAAAAAGATGGACACACAGATTTACGTGGTTCGGCACAAAATTACCTACGTCCACGGGCAATGATAGAAGAATCCACTATGAGGAGAAAACTCTGGAGTTACAATCTTTTTTTTTCAAGGAGATACTCTCTCTATTTTTTTCTCTTCTATATGAGTTGTTTCTGAGATGAGTTTTTTCCTTAAGGATTTGGAGCCTATTTATAGTGTTTGGAAAAATACTATGCACAATAAAATATTAATATATTTACTATGTTGTTGTTGTGCGCAACGAAAATTTCGGCAGCACCTCCGGTGCACAAGGTGCACAACAAGAGATTAGATCACAACAAAATTATCGTTTCTCAAAGGAAACAAGAACCAAAAACCAGATATCTCATCAAAGTGAAATATCAGCTCTTCCTCTCATCAGTTCTAAGACTGAAATGTCGAGGGAAGAGCTGATATTTTACTTTGATGAGATATCCGACTTTTGGTTCTTGTTTCCTTTGAGAAACGATAATTTCGTCGTTGTGATCTAATCTCTTGTTGTGCACCTTGCGCACTGGAGGTGCTGCCGAAATTTCCGCTGCGCACAACAGCTGTGGGGCGCGCCATTTTTTTTTTCTTTTCATTTGTCAAAATTTTTGGCTGCCGAATTCTTGATTTTCCATAAAGGTGGGCGGCTGACAAATCTTAGTTTGCTAGGAACCAATTTTAATCCAAAAACTCTAGCTAGCTAGTGGGTATTGGTCCCCGTTACTATTTTAAACTCATCGTACTTTCCCATCCTACCCCAATGTAGGACTACGCTCACATATTAATAACCCTAGCTTTGTTAAGCATGTTGCATTGCTGGTGATAATCGTACCTTCTTTTCCCTCGCCAGATAGACGCGGCCAAATTATTTGCCGCTTCCAAGAGGCTTTCCAACGTCGAAATCATTTAGAGTCCATCGCTCGGCTCCTGCCGAAGCCCTTGGTGATGCCTATGAAACGAGCACAAGATCAGAAGGAATAATAACGACCACCGTTTCCGGGTGAAACTGGACCATCTAAGGAATTTCCTGGAGATGGATGACCGCGTTTGAGCTTCAACTGGAGGAATTCGACCTCCATCCACGCTCACCCACTTACAACTGAATCAAAGCATTAAGTTTTCTCGATGTAAAAGCCTAAGATTTTGCAAGTACCTCGTCTTCTTGCTGGTTCACGGTGGCGATCGCCATCAGAGAGTGAGAGAGAGAATGTGGGCGGAGGGGTGGGGATATTTGAGGACGGAGTTCCAACGGTCGGCTTCTGGGATGATGCCACGTGGCAGGATCCGGGGACGGGTTTTGGAGCACACAGGCTTTTTTAAGGGCGCGTTTGGAACCCAATTTTTTTTTTTGGGTACAAAAATGATTTAAGGACCCAAAATATGGGACCAAGGGAGGGGACATGTGAGGTGTCCACTCCCTATTGCATAATGAGTTGGCCATGAGTTGGCATGGCCAACTCATTATGCAATAGGAAGGGGACACCTCACTTGTCCCCTCCCTTGGTCCCATATTTTGGGTCCCCGTAGCAGCACTCTTTTGGGTATTTTGGGTGAAAGCCTAACATTGTGTCAGACTTTCACCCTAAGACGCCTCTAAAAGATCTTTGGAATTGCAAAACACGTGGGAGGCAATAAAGTCGTGGTGATGTTTTCAAAAACGACCTTACAGATCTTTGGAATTGCAAAACAAAGAGAAAATTACGCTAATAAGCGTCCGAAATTATATCACTTGAAGCTTCCCTACTGCTGCTGACCAAAAAAATTGCAAAATTAATCAGACAGGATCCGAATCTGAGAAATCAAAAGTACAGAATCAGCCGCTCCAGGAAAATGACAGCTCTTCACGGTAACACAGCAATGTCCAATAAATGTTGGCATATGAGCTATTTTATTCACAAACCATAATACATAAGGTTACACAAAGAACACACTACATCATAAATTGAAGCAAAATAAGGCCGCAATGCACAACAACAATAAAGATATATAATACTTTCGCATAACACCCCACCAATTCACTCAGCTCACAAAAATTAACATGTAAAAATAAGAAATCATGTATCACTTGAAGCTTCCATACTGCTGCTGACCAGAAGTAGAGAAGCTAGTCCCCCCCATGCTTGGATTTGAGGGAGGAATACCTGATCCCAAACCCACAGTAGTATCAGCCATATACCACGGTGTCGCCGTTCCTTTTCCATTGTTTGAAGTATCGCCAAGTCCACCGACTATTCCAATACCTGCTAGATTTGCCTTCTTGGCTGCAAAATGAAAGATCAACTTAATACCAGGCCAAAGTTTCCAATATCTGCTAGTAACTAATAGATGACTACTCCTTGTCTCTGCTTGGCTATATTAAGGGTTAATTGATAGACCCTCTTATTATCGCCCAATTGCGAATAGACCCCCCATACTATTTGCCCAAGTGCCGATAGACCCCTGAGTAATTTTCTTTTAATATTCTTAAAAGAGAAAACCAAAAACATTCAGGGCATCTATCTGCGCAATAGAACTATAAGGGGTCTATCCGCACCTGGGGCTATCGTACAGAGGCCTATTCGCATTTAATCCATATATTAATTTTAGCTTTTCACGCAAAACCACCTAATACCTTATGTATATACCTTAATACTGCCCCTCACTTAGAAGCATATAGCATAGGCAAGATAGCAACAAAATTGTGATATTAACATTGGTTTGGTTACTTTAAAGTTTTATATATACCTTAATAATGCCCCTCAATTAGAAGCATATAGTATAGGCAAGATTGCAACGAAATTGTGATATTAACATTAGTTTGGTTACTTGAAATGTCATAATAATGTTCTCAAGCGCCTTAGAGCACCTGATATGTCATAAGACCTCAAACTAGAAGCTCCAGGTAAGATTGATAATAACAACAGGGCTTACTATGAATAATAAATAACATCAGAATGAAAAGAAACTTACGGGCTGTGATGTTTAGATCAATCAATCCACGGCTTAAAGAATCAGCCCATACCCCTGACTTGACTTGAAAAGCATTCTTCATGGGTGCAGGCTTGGATGCCATTGAAGATGTCTGTTCCAAGCTGCGGAGGCTGTTCTTTGTCGCATTTTGTTGAGGCTCTGTTGTCACAGACTGAGTATGAGATGTGAAGGTGCCAAAGGAGTCGGATTCTTCGAAATTGTTCAGTGGAATCGCGGCAAAAGGATCAAAGGCTTTTGTGTTTGTAGCTTCTGAAGCAGAGGACTTTGTGTCAGCATGCTTGCTTGAATCAGGAACTGCAAAAGGATCAAATGTTGTCGAGTGTTCCGGCTCTGAGGTAGAGTACTTCACTTCAGATGCTCCAAATAAATCAACATTTGCAACATTTGCAGCAGGAGGGGGAGGAAAGGCAGGTTGACTAGCAAAGAGATCAACATTGTCCTGCAATAACATTGGATATAGGGCACTAGGGATGAGGCGTCACTCAATGCTACCAAAGAGTACTAAATCTAAACAAACAAAAGGTGATGAATTCCAGGATAAAGATTTATTTAGTAAGCATATTAAAAGTACATCAACTAGAGAACGAGCCGCTGAGATTAACTAGCAACAGCTGCCAGCCTAGAAGGGCATGCTTGATTGTTATTGGTTTTACACTGCATAAAAAAGCAAATAGGACTTCACATCTGCTGTATGAAGCAGATGCCTTGTGCCAAGCTAATTCCAAGTGCTAGTCTAACCTGATCATGAGAACCTGGTGTTGCTTCAGAGTGAGGTGAGGCTGATACAAAAGTCGCATCAGCAAATAGGTCAACTTCAGGAGTGTTGGTGTTGCTGAAGAATGCAGGCTCTGATGGTGTAGATGTTGGTGCATCCATGAGATCAACTAAGCTTTCACCAAATAGATCCACTTGGTTGGAGGTTGTATTTGCTGGTCCATATCAGATAGTGACGAGTAGTTAAGATACAAAATATCTATATATATAGTGCTGTCAACTAATGCAAACAAGACAGACAGATATCAGCATAGAAGGCACTTGATTTCTAGATCATGCAGTTCCAATGTAGGTGTCACTCATCAGTCATCTCATTGCTACTGCTAATTCACCACTAATAGATACCATAAGATTAAATTTGAAATAGCCTCCAAATTATACAAGGTTTTACTGATAATGTCTGATGAAGGATACCAGAACAGCTGGTATCTGTACATCATCATGCTTCTACTCAAGACTGGCAAGAATTCTGGCAGAAATATGCAGGAAGCATGTATATAGTTCATTAATTATTTCCCTTAGCTGTTCAATCAAATTCAATTCGGACAATTATACCAAAGCAAATGATTATTAATATTTGTTTGATAAAATGTATATACTACTCCAATTATTTGATTCATTTAGTAGTCAATACACATAGAAAATCAAATATACAGTAAGATTTTATGGTTTCTTACATCTCCTTTAAGCTTAATCAAATATATTTACACACACGCGTCTATGTATAAACGCTGCAATATAGACAATAAAAAAATGTCTTCATAAGACAACTACTTGACTCAAAAATAAACAATTTGTTTTCATTAAACTTTTTAACAAAAGCATGCAGGAAAAAACATATTACCATTCTGCAAAATACATGCTGATTAAAGAGAGTTTCTTTTTTCCATTTCATAACTATCATCATCCGCAATAATTTACTAATAAGCACAGTATGGCACTTACCTCCTTTAGAGGTTCCACGTGGATCAAAGTCGTCAAAATCATCCTCAGTAGTGTTCTGTTCCATACTCGGGCTCTTAGAAGATAGAACTGGAGCAGGCATCTTAGCTGTTTTTGAGGAATTGGAGGATGAAGAATTACGAGACCTATTAAAATCCCCACAAAAAAGCCATCTGAGTATTGGTTTAGATGTAACAGTTCTAGCAGAAAAGCTTGCTGAATTAGCAAGTAGCAAGTGGCTCCAATATAGTTTGCTATGCATGAACTCAGACCACATATAACAAGATAATATCTCTTTACCTGTTGTCCTTGTCAGCGGGTTTTGAACAACCACGAGTTCACAGAAACATCAATGATGGTCAATATAGAAATGCATCCTAAAACACCAGGAAATAAATACCTTTGTATATATATTTACATATATATATGTAATATGTGTGTGCTTAATCTTTTCTAGTTTTACAGGGAAGCATCAAACAATCCGAATAGCGTGTTTGTGAAAGCATGTACAGAAAAATAAATAAAGCAGAGAAGAAGGTATCTGACGTACCCGGTGCGACCTGATGATCCCTTCTTCAATCCACTTTCATTTTCGGTGGAACGGTCATCATTTGACTTGTGATCATCTTTGTAGCTATCCTTGAACGATTCACCGTCCCTTGAACTACCAAAGCCTCCATACCGATCACTGCTCCCAAATGAGGATGCACTTGACTTAAATGTTACTCCCGTCGAGGACAGTCCAAAATACCTGCGTGCAAGAACATTACAAGGTTCCATCTCAGTTAGCTTCAATAATAATATTATTTAGGAGCATAACAATTTCAATTAAACTAACTCACTTATCACGGGTTGCAGCAGCTTTATTTCTAACTGCTTGTATTTTTTCTTTGTCATGTATAAGAGCTACAATGGTTTCAACTTTCTTCCTCACGTTGATTCCAACATCCTTTCCATTAGGCTCAACATATTCAAAGCCTGAAAGTGACTTTTAAAAGGGAAAAACAACAATGAGCAGTTTGGTAGCAAGAAAAACTCATCAAGATACTTCACACAGCGGTATCCTTGTGATAGGCAGAGATGCTTACTGAAATCCGAAAACTACGCTCAAGGATATCATCAAGTGCACGTTCAGATCCATTTGCAATCAAGTACTCTATAACAGTTAATGCCTGCAATGGAAAAAGACTTTCAAAAAACAGAACTCATCGTTTGAAATGATAGTCAACACAACATAGGGCCAGTTTAATTTGATTCGTGTAAAATATGTGGCACTATAATAAATTGAAGGAACTATTACCTTGTAAACATGGCGCCAATTTGCACCTGTGTCAGTCAATCTGGTCCAAAGAACATTCATAATCATCTGGCACTCAGAGCTGTATGAAATAATATAATAAATGTCTATTTAAAATCCGGCAAACAAGATGAAAAAGAATGTTCAAGGATACAAAGTAAAAGAACTTGCAATTTTAGTGTGGCCTGAGCAAGCTCTGACAGAGCAGATCCATGAGGGCCCCAGGGTTCGTCACTGGTTGCATCAAGAACCTGAAATTTGTAACGTCAATTGGAAACAGTAATAAGTAGAAATAACTCAATCAAAATGGCAAAAAGTTATGAATATTCAGAATTATATCACATTGAATACGTTGAATCACTAACAAACATAACATGGATGGTATAAATGAGGGGTTACTTCAATGTCAGTGCAACAAATACAAAAAAAAAAAGGGAAACTAGGATTGCTCATCATGTTACTGGATTTCAGTGAAACAAAAATAAAAAAAATCTGATAGGACATGTATCTACAACAATAAAGATATAAACTGGCCAGAGAAAAGATAAGACAACTCTGGGGCTTGCAGTTGACATAGGATCAATTCTCCGTTAATATCTGGTGTCGTTTGAGCTCCTACACCGTGTTCTAAAAGAACGTCGACGGAAATTTTGGAACCATTTGTAATTTCAAATACGTTTTCTTTTTGGTATTGGTATCAGGAGTTTAGGATTCCTAGTGGTTCCAAATAGACCATCAAGAATTTAGAAAACTACCAATAGATAAAATAAAAGACATTCAGCAATGTCTTTCCCTGCTCAATTAGAAGAAACTACTCAGATTTAGATTAGGCATCAACGTACCTCACGCAATGAAAAATCTAACGTTGCGAATTTAGAAGAAGATATGGCATGGTTTTGAGCAACTAAACTAGCATTGCATGATTGGATAAAGGAGAATTGATTGAGAAGTCTATATTCTATTTGAGCTGATACCATCAAGTAAAGCCCTAGTAGTAAAAATTTAGTAACTTTTCACGTTTAACCCTGTCTAATCCGTAACTACATTCTCGCTCAATAACAATTCAACAAATTAAATAAAAAGATTGAAGATCTTGAAAAAAGCTCAAAGATCTATGCTGCCAAAAGCACCAATTTAAAAAAAATAGAAAAATAAAGAACAAACCCTAACCTTCTGCTCGATCTCCGGGACCTTGAGCACTTTCAGATTCACCTCCCTCTTTTAAAGAACAAACCCTAACCTTCTGCTCGATCTCCGGGACCTTGAGCACTTTCAGATTCACCTCCCTCTTTCTGCAAAAAATAAAATAAAAAAAGAAACAAAAATGAACTCTCTCTATAGAAAAATCTCTATAGACAAAAGAATTGCGATCGAGAGAGAGAGCTCGAATCTCACATCTCCCGAACGGTCTGATCCAAAACCTTCATGAAATCCATCACGAGATCCGCTCTGTTAAACCTAGAATCAAAACAAAGTAGAGGAGAACGGTCGAGCTTCTACAGATCTGGGCGGATCAAGCAAGGAGTGGTCGGATCGCGAATCGAGAATTTGAGCGAAGTGATGAGAGAAGGGAACGGAGATTTGCTGGGATTTTTTTGCGAACCGAGGTTGACGGTTGATGATCTGAGAGCGGTGTTTTTTTTTTAATCGTACGGCTGAGATGGTGGGTCCGAATATCGAGTAGAGGAGAGTTCCGCCGTTCTGGTGTACCGCGGCTTCGTTCGTTTTGTAGCGTCGTGGGGCTGGCAACGGGTCGGGTTCAAATTGGATCCGCAACCACGCGTTCGCGGGGTACGGGTGCTAATGGACCGGATGTGTATCAGATACGTAAATTGATAACTAAGCACCCTGTGTTTATACGTAAATTGGTAACTTTTTGATGCTTTACTAACGAGACAGAACGAAACTATTAGATACTTTTGAGTATAATTATGCACAGTATAGAGAGACTACAGCTCTCCTATTTAAAAAAAATAAAAATGTTAACCGATAAAATCGTTAATCATCTAATAAACAGTAATAATTTATTTTACATGTTTGAAACTTGTGTTTTTACCGAATTTCGCATGTGAGAGAGCAATACAATGACAAACAATAATAAGATAATAAAAGAGAATCTAAAAAGAAAACAACCACCTTGATGTAACTGAATTGTTAATTTGCTCGGCAAGCTTCTAAATATCTTTCTAAATTTAATTGTATTTCTTTAAAATAAAGAAATACAATCCCACTTCTTCTTGATCAAAAAAAGAAAAAAGAAAAAAAAAAGATATTGCAAAATTAATCAGACAGGATCCGAATCTGAGAAATCAAAAGTACAGAATCAGCCGCTACAGGAAAATGACAGCTCTTCACGGTAACACAGCAATGTCCAATAAATGTTGCATATGAGCTCTTTTATTCACAAACCATAATACATAAGTTTACACAAAGAACACGCTTCATCATAAATTGAAGCAAAATAAGGCCGCAATGCACAACAACAATAAAGATATATAATACTTTCGCACAACACCCCAATTCACTCAGCTCACAAAAATTAACATGTAAAAATAAGAAATCATGTATCACTTGAAGCTTCCATACTGCTGCTGACCAAAAGTAGAGAAGCTAGTCCCTCCCATGCTTGGATTTGAGGGAGAAATACCTGATCCCAACCCACAGTCAAAGTTTCAAATATCGGCCGATAATCCGATAGTATCCCTGAGTTATCAGTTTTTGGAGCTTTCCAATAGGCTAAGTTGGAATTTAAATCAGTTATCTTTTTTTAAGGTTTATCGGAGATAATGCAGCGATAAAGGTGATTATCGGCAGATATTGGCGGCTCTAAAAATCAGAATTATCAGGTCACACTATTGGGTTGTGATTTTGGGTAATGAGTAATTTTTGAGTGAACATGAAACATGACACAGACCTGTTCTTTACAATAAAACTTAAACTCGATTAAGTAGCTCTAATCCTCCATTCTCTCTCCCCTCATTTGTGCGCCTGTACCCACTGCCCTAATCCTCTAATCTCCATTTCTCTTTGGACTCCGTCGACCTTGACGCTCGCCTCTGCCGACTTCGACGCTCGCCTCCGCTCCTCTTCGGGCTCCCCTGACCTCAACGCTATCGACTTCGACCATTCGACGATGCTCTCTCATCGACATTAACTGCATCGACTTGACGACTTTAATTAATACTGTGCTCTCTCCATCGACACCATCATCAACTGGTCTGGTAACTCGACGATGTTGACCAACACTGAGCTCTCTCCATCGACGCTATCATCAACTGTGACTTCGACAGTTCGACCTGGACTCTCCATCGACACCACACCCTTAACACAACTTCTGAAGTTGTAGCAACAAATAAAATTTACTATTCAGTTGGTTTTTTCTCTAGTTGTTTAGTGAAGATTGAGATAATGAAAGAGGGGAGTATGGTTAGATTACAATTTGGGGTATTATATTATATATACATATCATACGGTATATCACTCTGATAAGTACTACTTATCCCTGACATATTCCTAATTTCTGCTATCCGATAAGAATTTTGGCCGTCCAATAAATCCCCAATAATCGATATTTAAAACCTTGCCCACAATAGTATCAGCCACATACCACGGTGTCCCCGTTCCTTTTCCATTGTTTGAAGTATCGCCAAGTCCACCGACTATTCCAATATCTGCTAGATTTGCCTTCTTGGCTACAAAATGAAAGATCAACTTAATACCAGGCCAAAGTTTCCGATATCTGCTAGTAACTAATAGATGATTGTTTCCTGTTTCTCTGCTTAGTAATATTAAGGGTTGATTGATAGACCCTCTTATTATCACCCAATTGCGAATAGACCTCATGTACTATTTGCCCAAGTGCTGATAGACCCCTTGCGTAATTTTTTTAAATATTCTTAAAAGAGTAAAAACATAAACATTCAGGGCATCTATCTGCGCAATAGAACTTTAAGGGGTCTATCCGCACTTGGGGCTATAGTACAGGGGCTTATTCGCAATTAATCCATATACTAATTTTAGCTTTTCACGCAAAACCACCTAATACCTTTTATATATATCTTAATACTGCCCCTCAATTAGAAGCATATGGTATAGGCAAGATAGCAACGAAATTGTGATATTAACATTAGTTTGATTACTTAAAAGAGTCGTTATAATGTTCTCAAGCGCCTTGAGCACCTGATATGTCATAAGACCTCAAACTAGAAGCTCCAGGTAAGATTGATAATAACGACAGGGCTTACTATGAATAATAAATAACATCAGAACGAAAAGAAACTTACGGGCTGTGATGTTTAGATCAATCAATCCACGGCTTAAAGAATCAGCCCATACCCCTGACTTGACTTGGAAAGCATTCTTCATGGGTGCAGGCTTGGATGCCATTGAAGATGTCTGTTCCAAGCTGCGGAGCGCCGGAGGCTGTTCTTTGTCGCATTTTGTTGAGGCTCTGTTGTCACACACTGAGTATGAGATGTGAAGGCCAAAGGAGTCGGATTCTTCGAAATTGTTCAGTGGAATCGCGGCAAAAGGATCAAAGGCTTTTGTGTTTGTAGCTTCTGAAGCAGAGGACTTTGTGTCAGCATGCTTGCTTGAATCAGGAACTGCAAAAGGATCAAATGTTGTCGAGTGTTCCGGCTCTGAGGTAGAGTACTTCACTTCAGATGCTCCAAATAAATCAACATTTGCAACATTTGCAGCAGGAGGGGGAGGAAAGGCAGGTTGACTAGCAAAGAGATCAACATTGTCCTGCAATAACATTGGATATAGGGCACTAGGGATGAGGCATCACTCAATGCTACCAAAGAGTACTAAATCTAAACAAACAAAAGGTGATGAATTCCAGGATAAAGATTTATTTAGTAAGCATATTAAAAGTACATCAACTAGAGAACGAGCCGCTGAGATTAACTAGCAACAGCTGCCAGCCTAGAAGGGCATGCTTGATTGTTATTGGTTTTACACTGCATAAAAAAGCAAATAGGACTTCACATCTGCTGTATGAAGCAGATGCCTTGTGCCAAGCTAATTCCAAGTGCTAGTCTAACCTGATCATGAGAACCTGGTGTTGCTTCAGAGTGAGGTGAGGCTGATACAAAAGTCGCATCAGCAAATAGGTCAACTTCAGGAGTGTTGGTGTTGCTGAAGAATGCAGGCTCTGATGGTGTAGATGTTGGTGCATCCATGAGATCAACTAAGCTTTCACCAAATAGATCCACTTGGTTGGAGGTTGTATTTGCTGGTCCATATCAGATAGTGACGAGTAGTTAAGATACAATATATCTATATATATAGTGCTGTCAACTAATGCAAACAAGACAGACGGATATCAGCATAGAAGGCACTTGATTTCTAGATCATGCAGTTCCAATGTAGGTGTCACTCATCAGTCATCTCATTGCTACTGCTAATTCACCACTAATAGATACCATAAGATTAAATTTGAAATAGCCTCCAAATTATACAAGGCTTTACTGATAATGTCTGATGAAGGATGCCAGAACAGCTGGTATCTGTACATCATCATGCTTCTACTCAAGACTGGCAAGAATTCTGGCAGAAATATGCAGCAAGCATGTATATAGTTCATTAATTATTTCCCTTCGCTGTTCAATCAAATTCAATTCGAACAATTATACCAAAGCAAATGATTATTAATATTTGTTTGGTAAAATGTATATACTACTCCAATTATTTGATTCATTTAGTAGTCAATACACATATAGACAATTGTAATAGACTATTTCTTCTGTTTTTTTTAAATAATTTACATATTACATATTTACGTCATATAATAGACTCTTTCTTGCTAGTTGTTAATCTATTCTCTATATTTTCATGTCTAACCTATAAAAATAAAACATTAATTAGTAATTTAGTATATTTGTTTGCTAATTGTAACTTCCTTCTCTAATTAGCATGCTAACTAGAAAATTATGAACATGTAAATATGTAATTGTTACCTCCATTCTCCATCTTTTCATGATAACTAGCAAATAACAATTAAGAATGCTAACTAGAAAATTATGAACTTCTCTATATGTAATTGTTATCTCCATTCTCCATCTTTTCATGCTAACTAGCAAATAACAATCATATTTTTTAATCACTTAATTGTTACTTAAAAATACATATATTTTAAATGAAAATACATATTTCTTATTTGTTACTTGCTTGTTTTGTTTCATAAACTTTTGCTTATGTTGGAGATTATCTTGCATTGCGATTTGTGAAAACTTATGAACTTCTCTATGTTATGCATGCTAATTAAGACTCTGTCGTGAATTAGTAGGTGAAATTATATTTATTGGTCTTTTTATGTGACAACTTATAAACATGTTGCTTATATGCTTATTTGTCTTATGTTGCAAAATATTAGTTTGAGTTGTGCGCTTCAATTCAGTGAGGCGCGCACATCGTTGTACGCCTTGCGCATGGTGCGCATAAGGGGCCTTTGCGCCCCAGCATTGCGCCTTGCGCCTTGATAACAATGGTGGCACTATAATAAATTGAAGAAACTATTGCCTTGTAAACATGGCGCCAATTTGGCGCCAATTTGCACCTGTATCGGTCAATCTGGTCCAAAGAACATTCATAATCATCTGGCACTCAGAGCTGTAAGAAATAATATAATAAATGTCTATTTAAAATCCGACAAACAAGAGGAAAAAGAAGATACAAGGTAAAAGAAGAACTTGCAATTTTTTTGTGGCCTGAGCAAGCTCTGCCAGAGCAGATCCATGAGGACCCCAGGGTTCGTCGCTGGTTGGTGGTTGCATCAAGAACCTGAAATTTGTAACGTTAAGCATTTTTTTTTATAAATCAATATAATAACTTGAAAGTAGTAAACAATAAATATGTTCATTACACAAATAGATGAACTAACCAAACCAAAGTGTAAGTCTTAACTAATTATTACAAACATAATTAATTAGCTAAAGAGATAATCTTTAAAGCACCAATGCGAGTGTCGATCTCGCTGTATGCAACAAGACGAACATAGTAAATCCTGTTTTCAAAAACGACCTTACAGATCTTTGGAATTGCAAAACAAAGAGAAAATTACGCTAATAAGCGTCCGAAATTATATCACTTGAAGCTTCCCTACTGCTGCTGACCAAAAAAATTGCAAAATTAATCAGACAGGATCCGAATCTGAGAAATCAAAAGTACAGAATCAGCCGCTCCAGGAAAATGACAGCTCTTCACGGTAACACAGCAATGTCCAATAAATGTTGGCATATGAGCTATTTTATTCACAAACCATAATACATAAGGTTACACAAAGAACACACTACATCATAAATTGAAGCAAAATAAGGCCGCAATGCACAACAACAATAAAGATATATAATACTTTCGCATAACACCCCACCAATTCACTCAGCTCACAAAAATTAACATGTAAAAATAAGAAATCATGTATCACTTGAAGCTTCCATACTGCTGCTGACCAGAAGTAGAGAAGCTAGTCCCCCCCATGCTTGGATTTGAGGGAGGAATACCTGATCCCAAACCCACAGTAGTATCAGCCATATACCACGGTGTCGCCGTTCCTTTTCCATTGTTTGAAGTATCGCCAAGTCCACCGACTATTCCAATACCTGCTAGATTTGCCTTCTTGGCTGCAAAATGAAAGATCAACTTAATACCAGGCCAAAGTTTCCAAATATCTGCTAGTAACTAATAGATGATTGTTTCCTGTTTCTCTGCTTAGTAATATTAAGGGTTAATTGATAGACCCTCTTATTATCACCCAATTGCGAATAGACCCCATGTACTATTTGCCCAAGTGCTGATAGACCCCTTGAGTAAATTTTTTTTAATATTCTTAAAAGAGTAAAAACATAAACATTCAAGGCATCTATCTGCGCAATAGAACTTTAAGGGAACTATCCGCACTTGGGGCTATAGTACAGGGTCTATCCATATACTAATTTTAGCTTTTCACGCAAAACCACCTAATACCTTATGTATATACCTTAATACTGCCCCTCACTTAGAAGCATATAGCATAGGCAAGATAGCAACAAAATTGTGATATTAACATTGGTTTGGTTACTTTAAAGTTTTATATATACCTTAATAATGCCCCTCAATTAGAAGCATATAGTATAGGCAAGATTGCAACGAAATTGTGATATTAACATTAGTTTGGTTACTTGAAATGTCATAATAATGTTCTCAAGCGCCTTAGAGCACCTGATATGTCATAAGACCTCAAACTAGAAGCTCCAGGTAAGATTGATAATAACAACAGGGCTTACTATGAATAATAAATAACATCAGAACGAAAAGAAACTTACGGGCTGTGATGTTTAGATCAATCAATCCACGGCTTAAAGAATCAGCCCATACCCCTGACTTGACTTGAAAAGCATTCTTCATGGGTGCAGGCTTGGATGCCATTGAAGATGTCTGTTCCAAGCTGCGGAGGCTGTTCTTTGTCGCATTTTGTTGAGGCTCTGTTGTCACAGACTGAGTATGAGATGTGAAGGCGCCAAAGGAGTCGGATTCTTCGAAATTGTTCAGTGGAATCGCGGCAAAAGGATCAAAGGCTTTTGTGTTTGTAGCTTCTGAAGCAGAGGACTTTGTGTCAGCATGCTTGCTTGAATCAGGAACTGCAAAAGGATCAAATGTTGTCGAGTGTTCCGGCTCTGAGGTAGAGTACTTCACTTCAGATGCTCCAAATAAATCAACATTTGCAACATTTGCAGCAGGAGGGGGAGGAAAGGCAGGTTGACTAGCAAAGAGATCAACATTGTCCTGCAATAACATTGGATATAGGGCACTAGGGATGAGGCATCACTCAATGCTACCAAAGAGTACTAAATCTAAACAAACAAAAGGTGATGAATTCCAGGATAAAGATTTATTTAGTAAGCATATTAAAAGTACATCAACTAGAGAACGAGCCGCTGAGATTAACTAGCAACAGCTGCCAGCCTAGAAGGGCATGCTTGATTGTTATTGGTTTTACACTGCATAAAAAAGCAAATAGGACTTCACATCTGCTGTATGAAGCAGATGCCTTGTGCCAAGCTAATTCCAAGTGCTAGTCTAACCTGATCATGAGAACCTGGTGTTGCTTCAGAGTGAGGTGAGGCTGATACAAAAGTCGCATCAGCAAATAGGTCAACTTCAGGAGTGTTGGTGTTGCTGAAGAATGCAGGCTCTGATGGTGTAGATGTTGGTGCATCCATGAGATCAACTAAGCTTTCACCAAATAGATCCACTTGGTTGGAGGTTGTATTTGCTGGTCCATATCAGATAGTGACGAGTAGTTAAGATACAATATATCTATATATATAGTGCTGTCAACTAATGCAAACAAGACAGACGGATATCAGCATAGAAGGCACTTGATTTCTAGATCATGCAGTTCCAATGTAGGTGTCACTCATCAGTCATCTCATTGCTACTGCTAATTCACCACTAATAGATACCATAAGATTAAATTTGAAATAGCCTCCAAATTATACAAGGCTTTACTGATAATGTCTGATGAAGGATGCCAGAACAGCTGGTATCTGTACATCATCATGCTTCTACTCAAGACTGGCAAGAATTCTGGCAGAAATATGCAGCAAGCATGTATATAGTTCATTAATTATTTCCCTTCGCTGTTCAATCAAATTCAATTCGAACAATTATACCAAAGCAAATGATTATTAATATTTGTTTGGTAAAATGTATATACTACTCCAATTATTTGATTCATTTAGTAGTCAATACACATATAGACAATTGTAATAGACTATTTCTTCTGTTTTTTTTAAATAATTTACATATTACATATTTACGTCATATAATAGACTCTTTCTTGCTAGTTGTTAATCTATTCTCTATATTTTCATGTCTAACCTATAAAAATAAAACATTAATTAGTAATTTAGTATATTTGTTTGCTAATTGTAACTTCCTTCTCTAATTAGCATGCTAACTAGAAAATTATGAACATGTAAATATGTAATTGTTACCTCCATTCTCCATCTTTTCATGATAACTAGCAAATAACAATTAAGAATGCTAACTAGAAAATTATGAACTTCTCTATATGTAATTGTTATCTCCATTCTCCATCTTTTCATGCTAACTAGCAAATAACAATCATATTTTTTAATCACTTAATTGTTACTTAAAAATACATATATTTTAAATGAAAATACATATTTCTTATTTGTTACTTGCTTGTTTTGTTTCATAAACTTTTGCTTATGTTGGAGATTATCTTGCATTGCGATTTGTGAAAACTTATGAACTTCTCTATGTTATGCATGCTAATTAAGACTCTGTCGTGAATTAGTAGGTGAAATTATATTTATTGGTCTTTTTATGTGACAACTTATAAACATGTTGCTTATATGCTTATTTGTCTTATGTTGCAAAATATTAGTTTGAGTTGTGCGCTTCAATTCAGTGAGGCGCGCACATCGTTGTACGCCTTGCGCATGGTGCGCATAAGGGGCCTTTGCGCCCCAGCATTGCGCCTTGCGCCTTGATAACAATGGTGGCACTATAATAAATTGAAGAAACTATTGCCTTGTAAACATGGCGCCAATTTGGCGCCAATTTGCACCTGTATCGGTCAATCTGGTCCAAAGAACATTCATAATCATCTGGCACTCAGAGCTGTAAGAAATAATATAATAAATGTCTATTTAAAATCCGACAAACAAGAGGAAAAAGAAGATACAAGGTAAAAGAAGAACTTGCAATTTTTTTGTGGCCTGAGCAAGCTCTGCCAGAGCAGATCCATGAGGACCCCAGGGTTCGTCGCTGGTTGGTGGTTGCATCAAGAACCTGAAATTTGTAACGTTAAGCATTTTTTTTTATAAATCAATATAATAACTTGAAAGTAGTAAACAATAAATATGTTCATTACACAAATAGATGAACTAACCAAACCAAAGTGTAAGTCTTAACTAATTATTACAAACATAATTAATTAGCTAAAGAGATAATCTTTAAAGCACCAATGCGAGTGTCGATCTCGCTGTATGCAACAAGACGAACATAGTAAATCCAGTCAACGATGCGATATTGATTGACCGTTGCAGTGTATTCCATTGGGTCAGTTGTTGAAGAGGTGGGGGTTGGTTCAGTTCCAGTGATCCTCAAAGTATGTCCTTGAGTGTCGGAGCCAGAAGCGTCGGTTGTCTTCAGCTTCTTTGAGCTTGTGTCTGTCGGCACGAGGAAAAGACTCATGTCTAAAACATGTTCTCTTACTTCGCCACTTCTCACTTCATAAGATCCATAAAATCTTCTGGGCATTGTGCGACTTGCTTCAGTCCATGAAAAGTTTCTGGGAACAATGTTGTTGGGGAAGTTTTGCCAGTCGTCCACATCTCGGTAGGCCATGTTTGGAGAACAGGCCTCTCCAATGATGTAGGCTATGGTCACATCATCAGTAGTGTAGTTGCCTTCAAAAGGGAACCACGCTAAGCACATTTCATTGTCGTGCCAGTCGAATAACCAGGATGGTCTTCCAGTTGTGGTTGAGACGAGTGATGATATATTCCAAGCTTTACTATCACACATTCTCATTAGCACACATTGTGCTAAGTCAAAGTTGTCTGTGAAGCCGTCGATGTTAAACGGATTGATGATGTTATTCCAGTTTGTTTCTTTGTTTATAACTGGCACGTACATTACATTTTCACTAATTCCTTTGATGTGGGTAGGGTGAATAGCAGCATGTAGTAGGCACAGAAATTCGTCATATTCATAACTTCTGTGAACTTCTTCTTCATACTCGTAGTATTCTGTGAACGCAATAGGGTCGATTGCCCTAGCAGCCTCTCGGTTTGAGACGTAGAGGTCGTAGAACCACATCGAAACGTATGCACGAGCGGCGTACGTGATGAAGCTGATTCCTCCGGGGGGTGGGAATGCTTCACGTAGTCCACAGAAGTCACTTTGTCTTAAGCTAAAGATTCCCTGGTATAACGTGACCAGAGAATCAAAGATTCCTTGTCTTTTGATAACAACATAGCGGCTGTACGTACCATAGCGTGGCTTCAAAGTTCTGATGCGATGGCTTTCTTGAAGGAAGTCGCTAGCTCGGCTCACTCGGGTCCTAGAAGGAATTGGAGCGGGAGGCGCAGGCGCTGTGACGGTCGAAATGACGTCATCGGGATCAATATGATCTCCCATCTGTGTAAAGTTACAGAGATTTATAAGCGCCGAGTTCAAACGTATTGGAAACAGTAATAAGTAGAAATAACTCGATCAAAATGGCAAAAAGTTGTGAATATTCAGAATTATATCACATTGAATACGTTGAATCGCTAACAAACATAACATGGATGGTATAAATGAGGGGAGAAAAAAAGCTCAAAGATCTATGCTGCCAAAAGCACCAATTTAAAAAAAATAGAAAAATAAAGAACAAACCCTAACCTTCTGCTCGATCTCCGGGACCTTGAGCACTTTCAGATTCACCTCCCTCTTTATGCAAAAATTTTTAAAAAAGAAACAAAAATGAAATCTCTATAGAAAAATCTCTATAGACAAAAGAATTGCGATCGAGAGAGAGAGAGCTCGAATCTCACATCTCTCGAACGGTCTGATCCAAAACCTTCATGAAATCCATCACGAGATCCGCTCTGTTAAACCTAGATTCAGACGAAGGAGAGGAGAACGGTCGAGCTTCTATAGATCTGGGCGGATCAATCAAGGAGTGGTCGGATCGCGAATCGAGAATTTGAGCGAAGTGATGAGAGAAGGGAACGGAGATTTGCTGGGATTTTTTTGCGAACCGAGGTTGACGGTTGATGATCTGAGAGCGAGAGAAGGGAACGGAGATTTGCTGGGATTTTTTTGCGAACCGAGGTTGACGGTTGATGATCTGAGAGCGCTGTTTTTTTTTAATCGTACGGCTGAGATGGTGGGTCCGAATATCGAGTAGAGGAGAGTTCCGCCGTTCTGGTGTACCGCGGCCCCGTTCGTTTTGTAGCGTCAGGGGGCTGGCAACGGGTCGGGTTCAAATTGGATCCGCAACCACGCGTTCGCGGGGTACGGGTGCTAATGGACCGGATGTGTATCAGATACGTAAATTGATAACTAAGCTCTAAGCACCCTCTGTTATACGTAAATTGGTAACTTTTTGATGCTTAGCTAACGAGACAGAACGAAACTATTAGATACTTTTGAGTAAATTATGCACAGTATAGAGAGACTACAGCTCTCCTATTTAAAAAAAATAAAAATGTTCACCGATAAAATCGTTAAAACCATCTAGTAAACAGTAATAATTTATTTTACATGTTTGAAACTTGTGTTTTTACCGAATTTCGCATGTGAGAGAGCAATACAATGACAAACAATAATAAGATAATAAAAGAGAATCTAAAAAGAAAACAACCACCTTGATGTAACTGAATTGTTAATTTGCTCGGCAAGCTTCTAAATATCTTTCTAAATTTAATTGTATTTCTTTAAAATAAAGAAATACAATCCCACTTCTTCTTGATCAAAAAAAAAAAGAAAAAAAAAAGATATTGCAAAATTAATCAGACAGGATCCGAATATGAGAAATCAAAAGTCCAGAATCAGCCGCTACAGGAAAATGACAGCTCTTCACGGTAACACAGCAATGTCCAATAAATGTTGCATATGAGCTCTTTTATTCACAAACCATAATACATAAGTTTACACAAAGAACATGCTTCATCATAAATTGAAGCAAAATAAGGCCGCAATGCACAACAACAATAAAGATATATAATACTTTCGCACAACACCCCAATTCACTCAGCTCACAAAAATTAACATGTAAAAATAAGAAATCATGTATCACTTGAAGCTTCCATACTGCTGCTGACCAAAAGTAGAGAAGCTAGTCCCTCCCATGCTTGGATTTGAGGGAGAAATACCTGATCCCAACCCACAGTCAAAGTTTCAAATATCAGCCGATAATCCGATAGTATCACTGAGTTATCGGTTTTTGGAGCTTTCCAATAGGCTAAGTTGGAATTTAAATCAGTTATCTTTTTTTCGGGTTTATCGGAGATAATGCAGCGATAAAGGTGATTATCGGCCGATATTGGCGGCTCGAAAAATCAGAATTATCGGGTCACACTATTGGGTTGTGATTTTGGGTAATGGGTAATTTTTGAGTGAACATGAAACACGACACATACCTGTTCTTTACAATAAAACTTAAACTCAATTAAGTAGCTCTAATCCTCCATTCTCTCTCCCCTCATTTGTGTGCCTGTACCCGCTGCCCTAATCCTCTGATCTTAATTTCTCTTTGGACTCCGTCGACCTTGACGCTCGCCTCCGCCGACTTCGACGCTCGCCTCCGCTCCTCTTCGGGCTCCGCTAACCTCAACGCTATCGACTTCGACCATTCGACGTTGCTCTCTCATCGACATTAACTTCATCGACTTGACGACTTCGACTAATGATGTGCTCTCTCCATCGACACCATCATCAACTGATCTGATTAACTCGACGATGTTAACCAACACTGAGCTCTCTCCATCGACGTCATCATCAACTGTGACTTCGACAGTTCGACTTGGACTCTCCATCGACACCACACCCTTAACACAACTTCTGAAGTTGTAGCAACAAATAAAATTCACTATTCAGTTGGTTTTTTCTCTAGTCATTTAGTGAATATTGAGAGAATGAAAGAGGGGAGTATGGTTAGATTACAATTTGGGGGTATTATATTATATATACACATTATATCACTCTGATAAATACTACTTATCCCCAACATATTCCTGATTTCTGCTATCCGATAAGAATTTTGGCCGTCCAATAAATCCCCAATAATCGATATTTAAAACCTTGCCCACAGTAGTATCAGCCATATACCACGGTGTCGCCGTTCCTTTTCCATTGTTTGAAGTATCGACAAGTCCACCGACTATTCCAATATCTGCTAGATTTGCCTTCTTGGCTACAAAATGAAAGATCAACTTAATACCAGGCCAAAGTTTCCAAATATCTGCTAGTAACTAATAGATGATTGTTTCCTGTTTCTCTGCTTAGTAATATTAAGGGTTAATTGATAGACCCTCTTATTATCACCCAATTGCGAATAGACCCCATGTACTATTTGCCCAAGTGCTGATAGACCCCTTGAGTAAATTTTTTTTAATATTCTTAAAAGAGTAAAAACATAAACATTCAAGGCATCTATCTGCGCAATAGAACTTTAAGGGAACTATCCGCACTTGGGGCTATAGTACAGGGTCTATCCATATACTAATTTTAGCTTTTCACGCAAAACCACCTAATACCTTTTATATATATCTTAATACTGCCCCTCAATTAGAAGCATAAGGTAGAGGCAAGATAGCAACGAAATTGTGATATTAACATTAGTTTGGTTACTTTAAAGTTTTATATATACCTTAATAATGCCCCTCAATTAGAAGCATATAGTATAGGCAAGATTGCAACGAAATTGTGATATTAACATTAGTTTGGTTACTTGAAATGTCATAATAATGTTCTCAAGCGCCTTGAGCACCTGATATGTCATAAGACCTCAAACTAGAAGCTCCAGGTAAGATTGATAATAACAACAGGGCTTACTATGAATAATAAATAACATCAGAACGAAAAGAAACTTACGGGCTGTGATGTTTAGATCAATCAATCCACGGCTTAAAGAATCAGCCCATACCCCTGACTCGACTTGTAAAGCGTTCTTCATGGGTGCAGGCTTGGATGCCATTGAAGATGTCTGTTCCAAGCTGCGGAGGCTGTTCTTTGTCGCATTTTGTTGAGGCTCTGTTGTCACAGACTGAGTATGAGATGTGAAGGCGCCAAAGGAGTCGGATTCTTCGAAATTGTTCAGTGGAATCGCGGCAAAAGGATCAAAGGCTTTTGTGTTTGTAGCTTCTGAAGCAGAGGACTTTGTGTCAGCATGCTTGCTTGAATCAGGAACTGCAAAAGGATCAAATGTTGTCGAGTGTTCCGGCTCTGAGGTAGAGTACTTCACTTCAGATGCTCCAAATAAATCAACATTTGCAACATTTGCAGCAGGAGGGGGAGGAAAGGCAGGTTGACTAGCAAAGAGATCAACATTGTCCTGCAATAACATTGGATATAGGGCACTAGGGATGAGGCATCACTCAATGCTACCAAAGAGTACTAAATCTAAACAAACAAAAGGTGATGAATTCCAGGATAAAGATTTATTTAGTAAGCATATTAAAAGTACATCAACTAGAGAACGAGCCGCTGAGATTAACTAGCAACAGCTGCCAGCCTAGAAGGGCATGCTTGATTGTTATTGGTTTTACACTGCATAAAAAAGCAAATAGGACTTCACATCTGCTGTATGAAGCAGATGCCTTGTGCCAAGCTAATTCCAAGTGCTAGTCTAACCTGATCATGAGAACCTGGTGTTGCTTCAGTGTGAGGTGAGGCTGATACAAAAGTCGCATCAGCAAATAGGTCAACTTCAGGAGTGTTGGTGTTGCTGAAGAATGCAGGCTCTGATGGTGTAGATGTTGGTGCATCCATGAGATCAACTAAGCTTTCACCAAATAGATCCACTTGGTTGGAGGTTGTATTTGCTGGTCCATATCAGATAGTGACGAGTAGTTAAGATACAATATATCTATATATATAGTGCTGTCAACTAATGCAAACAAGACAGACGGATATCAGCATAGAAGGCACTTGATTTCTAGATCATGCAGTTCCAATGTAGGTGTCACTCATCAGTCATCTCATTGCTACTGCTAATTCACCACTAATAGATACAATAAGATTAAATTTGAAATAGCCTCCAAATTATACAAGGCTTTACTGATAATGTCTGATGAAGGATGCCAGAACAGCTGGTGTCTGTACATCATCATGCTTCTACTCAAGACTGGCAAGAATTCTGGCAGAAATATGCAGCAAGCATGTATGTAGTTCTTTAATTATTTCCCTTAGCTGTTCAATCAAATTCAATTCGGACAATTACACCAAAGCAAATGATTATTAATATTTGTTTGATAAAATGTATATACTACTCCAATTATTTGATTCATTTAGTAGTCAATACACATATAGACAATTGTAATAGACTCTCTCTTATGTTTTTTTTAAATAATTTACATATTACATATTTACGTCATATAATAGAATCTTTCTTGCTAGTTGTTAATCTATTCTCCATATTTTCATGTCTAACCTATAAAAATAAAACATTAATTAGTAATTTAGTATATTTGTTTGCTAATTGTAACTTCCTTCTCTAATTAGCATGCTAACTAGAAAATTATGAACATGTAAATATGTAATTGTTACCTCCATTCTCCATCTTTTCATGATAACTAGCAAATAACAATTAAGAATGCTAACTAGAAAATTATGAACTTCTCTATATGTAATTGTTATCTCCATTCTTTATCTTTTCATGCTAACTAGCAAATAACAATCATATTTTTTAATCACTTAATTGTTACTTAAAAATACATATATTTTAAATGAAAATACATATTTCTTATTTGTTACATGCTTGTTTTGTTTCATAAACTTTTGCTTATGTTGGAGATTATCTTGCATTGTGATTTGTGAAAACTTATGAACTTCTCTTTGTTATGCATGCTAATTAAGACTCTATCGTGAATTAGTAGGTGAAATTATATTTATTGGTCTTTTTATGTGACAACTTATAAACATGTTGCTTATATGCTTATTTGTCTTATGTTGCAAAATATTAGTTTGAGTTGTACGCCTCAATTCAGTGAGGCGCGCGCATCGTTGTGCGCCTTGCGCATGGTGCGCGTAAAGAGCCTTTGCGCCCCGCATTGCGCCTTGCGCCTTGATAACAATGGTGGCACTATAATAAATTGAAGAAACTATTACCTTGTAAACATGGCGCCAATTTGCACCTGTATCAGTCAATCTGGTCCAAAGAACATTCATAATCATCTAGCACTCAGAGCTGTAAGAAATAATATAATAAATGTCTATTTAAAATCCGGCAAACAAGATGAAAAAGAATGTTCAAGGATACAAAGTAAAAGAAGAACTTGCAATTTTTTTGTGGCCTGAGCAAGCTCTGCCAGAGCAGATCCATGAAGACCCCAGGGTTCGTCGCTGGTTGGTGGTTGCATCAAGAACCTGAAATTTGTAACGTTAAGCATTTTTTTTATATAAATCAATATAATAACTTGAAAGTAGTAAACATTAAATATGTTCATTACACAAATAGATGAACTAACCAAAGTGTAAGTCTTAACTAATTATTACAAACATAATTAATTAGCTAAAGAGATAATCTTTAAAGCATCAATGCGAGTGTCGATCTCGCTGTATGCAACAAGACGAACATAGTAAATCCAGTCAACGATGCGATATTGATTGACCGTTGCAGTGTATTCCATTGGGTCAGTTGTTGAAGAGGTGGGGGTTGGTTCAGTTCCAGTGATCCTCAAAGTATGTCCTTGAGTGTCGGAACCAGAAGCGTCAGTTGTCTTCCGCTTCTTTGAGCTTGTGTCTGTCGGCGCGAGGAAAAGACTCATGTCTAAAACATGTTCTCTTACTTCGCCACTTCTCACTTCATAAGTTCCATGAAATCTTCTGGGCATTGTGCGATTTGCTTCAGTCCACGAAACGTTTCTGGGAACAATGTTGTTGGGGAAGTTTTGCCAGTCGTCCACATCTTGGTAGGCCAGGTTTGGAGAACAGGCCTCTCCAATGATGTAGGCTATGGTCACATCATCAGCAGTGTAGTTGCCTTCAAAAGGGAACCACGCTAAGCACATTTCATTGTCGTGCCAGTCGAATAACCAGGATGGTCTTCCAGTCGTGGTTGAGACGAGTGATGATATATTCCAAGCTCTACTATCACACATTCTCATTAGCACACATTGTGCTAAGTCAAAGTTGTCTGTGAAGCCGTCGATGTTAAACGGATTGATGATGTTATTCCAGTTTGTTTCTTTGTTTATAACTGGCACGTACATTACATTTTCACTAATTCCTTTGATGTGAGTAGGGTGAATAGCAGCATGTAGTAGGCACAGAAATTCGTCATATTCATAACTTCTGTGAACTTCTTCATGCAAGTAGTATTGTGTGAATGCAATAGGGTCGATTGCCCTAGCAGCCTCTCGGTTTGAGACGTAGAGGTCGTAGAACCACATTGAAACGTATGCACGAGCGGCGTACGTGATGAAGCTGATTCCTCCGGGGAGTGGGAATGCTTCATGTAGTCCACAGAAGTCTCTTTGTTTTAAGCTAAAGATTGCCTGGTATAACGTGACCAGAGAATCAAAGATTCCTTGTCTTTTGATTTCAACATAGTGTCTGTACTTATCATAGCGTTGCTTCAAAGTTACGATGCGATAGCTTTCTTCAAGGAAGTCGCTAGCTCGGCTCGCTGGGGTCCTAGAAGGAATTGGAGCGGGAGGCGCAGGCGCTGTGACGGTCGAAATGACGTCATCGGGATTAGTATGATCTCCCATCTGTGTAAAGTTACAGAGATTTATAAGCGCCGAGTGCAAACGTATTGGAAACACTAATGAGTAGAAATAACTCGATCAAAATGGCAAAAAGTCGTGAACATTCAGAATTATATCACATTGAATACGTTGAATCGCTAACAAACATAACATGGATGGTATAAATGAGGGGTTACTTCAATGTCAGTGCAACAAATACAAGAAAAAGGGAAACTAGGGTTGCTCATCATGTTACTAGATTTACTTGTATTTAGAACAATAAAGATATAAACTGGCGAGAGAAAAGATAAAGACGACTCTGGCTGCAGCAACCAAAATGTAGCCGTATGGAATCCAGTAACATGATCTGGGAAAAAAGCTCAAAGATCTATGCTGCCAACAGTACCAATTTAAAAAAATAGAAAAATAAAGAACAAACCCTAACCTTCAGCTCGATCTCCGGGACCTTGAGCACTTTCAGATTCACCTCCCTCTTTATGCAAAATATTTTAAAAAAAGAAACAAAAATGAACTCTCTCTCTCTCTCTCTCTCTGGAAAAATCTCACATCTCTCGAACGGTCTGATCCAAAACCTTCATGAAATCCATCACGAGATCCGCTCTATTAAACCTAGAATCAAACGAAAGAGAGGAGAACGGTCGAGCTACTACAGATCTGGGCGGATCAAGCAAGGAGCGGTCGGATCGCAAATCGAGAATTTGAGCGGAGTGATGAGATAAGGGGATGGAGATCGTACGGCTGAGATGGTGGGTCCAAATATCGAGTAGAGCCAGAGGAGAGTTTCGCCGTTTTGTTGTACCGCGGCCCTCGTTCGTTTGGTAGCGGAATAATTTTTCAAAACAGGCCGATTTAGCTTTTTATTTTTCAAAATCGACCGTTTTTTTTATTTATCAAAATTGACCCGGTTTTGTGATTAACAGATTAATCATCATACTCCCTTTAAAAGCACGAGTTCGGAAAAAGCTTTCTGTAGACAAATATACCCCTATATAGTTTGAAATATCCTATCTATAATCAAATTTTAATTTTTAGATTTAATTTAATGATAATTTTCCTAAGAAATTGCTTACCTGTACACCAAAGTCTCCTACGTATTGTGACTAGAATTCATGAAGAACTACATAGTGCCAATAATAACAGATCAGGAAAATATCAATAATTACAGTTATTATAACAGATATTTATTCTACTTCAAGAACTATGTTATTATCTAATCTAATCTGACGTGAATCCTAACAACTTCAAGAACCTGATTAATTAAAAAATCATATAAGCAACAAAAATATAATACACATCTAATTATTAATAATAATACACATTTAATCATTAACAAAAATATAATGGCGATTCATGAATAACTATATAGTGCCAATAATAACAGTTATTATAACAGATATTAATAGATACCATAATAATCTACTTCAAGAACTATGTTATTATATAATCTAATCTGACGTGAATCCTAACAACTTCAAGAACCTGATTAATCAAAAAATCATATAAGCAACAAAAATATAATACACATCCGTGAATTATAATAACTTCAAGAACTTTAATAACTTTATACCCAGTGAGATGATAACCCAGATATATTATAAATAATTCATTACCGGGATCTAATTAGAAATTGTTTATTTGTAAATTATAATAACAGAAATTGTTTTATTATAATAACAGTTATTATTATCATAATAACAAATACCATAACAATTATTATAATAACTTCAAGAACTTTAATAACTTTATACCCAGTGAGATGATAACCCAGTTATATTATAACTAATTCATTGCCAGAATCTAATTAGAAATTGCTTATTTGTAAATTATAATAACAAGAATTGCTTTATTATAATAATTATTATTATTATCATAATAACAAATACCATAACAATTATTATTATCCGTGAATTATAATAACTTTAAGAACATTTATTGCTAATCAATGTTCTGAACTTTATCTGTAGACTCCACCTTTTTACACAACATCCCCGATTGATAACTATTCTAATTATGATCAAATCCTAATAAAACTCTAATTATAACTATTATCCTATCACATGTAATATCTGATCATGCCTAAATATAAACCATAAAATTACACAATTTTCATAATAACTTTCTATCTCCTTCAACATGTATGTTTTTTTATTTTCATGATTATTCTTTAAAAATATTGTGTATTTAATTTAATGGTGATGGTGATATTTGTTTTACGATGCAATTAATTTTTATGGAAATTGATATTTTTTTAAAATTCTTAAATTTTCATGCAGAATTTGGAGGAATAAATATTTCATTGTTGTAGGTTGTCATATATATCAAGGTAAATCTTCATGTTTGATATTATTTTAATTTAGATTTATTTAATTATAATCTTCTTCTTCTTCTTTTTCTTTGTATGCTTTTAGTTAGTTTATGTTTTTGCGTAGATTTATTTGTTTGCCTGCATATTGCATACGATCAATAGATTATGATATGATTTAAAACAACAAAATATTTTAATCAATTAAGTGATTAGCAAAAGAGAAATTGCATGAGAAAAGCATGAACTAAAAAGAGAAATAAGTTAACATCTTCCTTACAAACAATTTTATGTTTCTTTCATATATTGATGAATCTTCAATTGATATTTAGCAGTTCATACAATACAATAACTCTCTCTACCTACATGTTTTTCTATAAAAGTAATCTTAACTCTGTGACAAAATTACCTTCAATCCCCGAGTGAAATATCCCAAGTCCTGCCCAATAAACGTATGCAAACGGGATCAATGTAACAAAAAACTAACATAAAGTAACATATGCAAACAAAACAATGTAATATATGCAAACAGGAACAATGTAACAGAAAAAGTCCAAGACCATGGGAACAATATAATAATAGAAGAGAGTAAACAAAACAATGCCCTTTCACATATGCGAAAAACTATTTTTAAAAAAAATTCTTTGTGAGATCCACAACAAACTATCAAAACAATTGAACAATTAACAATATAATAATTACAAAATTTAATCTAGATGATATTGACTAAATCTCCTTATGCTCTCTTAGGGGGGGGGGAATCCTGAATCCATGTGATATCAACAAAACATCTTGTCTCCTTAAAGATTCTCTTAGGAAAAAAAGCACGTTACATATGATCTCACGCAACTGATGAAAGACGCTTCCAAATTTTGATTCAAGAAGTTTATAAAGCTAAGTCTCTTACGTGCAAATGAATAACTTCAACCATGTGACATTGTGCACTGTTGAAGAAAAATTATTGCTGAATATGGGTAATAAACATGATATATGACAATGATGACTATATAATTGGTATATCCATTTTAATTTACTTGATGAATCATGTGCTTGCTTTTGACGCACAAAATAAAAAACACATTTTTGCATATCATTCTTCAATGTCTCTGAGTATTCCTAATACTTTCTGAAATTAATTGGAAAACAAATATTGACAAATGAAACTTTCATAACAATATTTACATGAATAAGAATGAACAAGTGATAAAGAACTCAACAAGATATTATACATACCACGTGATTTGAGATTTAATACTACTTCTAAATCCTAAGCTCATGTATTGAATATTTTTACACAGCTACAATAATATGAGCAAAATTGCAGACAAGACACGAAGAGCTCACACCACTAGCCTCACTAATAAAGTAAAAGTAACAGTTTATAAATTAAACAAAAGTAACATGGCTAAAATAGGAGGCGGCATTAAGTCTAATTCGTAATTATTTTTATATTTTTTTTGCATAAAAATAGCATGCACTTACCATCTAGATCAACTGGAACATCTCCCTCAAATTCTGCAAATAGAAATAGTAAATTAGGTATAATTAGCAACAAGAATAACCAGCATAAGTAATTACAAGCTGGAAACTCTCCAAAGTTAGGGTTGTTCTCTCTAATGTTTAATGTGCATAATAAGTTTAGTGCAAATTATCCAATGAAATACAATAAGGATACCCCAAATGTAAAAGGACAAAAAACAAAGATTTACTGACAAAAATAGCAACATAGTTACTAAATAAAATTATTTTATATATCCAACAGCTGATAAACCAGATAATAAGTTATTATAAAAACATTCTAAGGACATCAAAATGCTTGTTATGAAGATAAAAACTCGGTTTAAGCTCACGAAACTTCTATATTCACATTAACCAGATATGAACAAAGACTATTACAAGATAATACGACGAAGGATTAAGCGATGGACGGAGCCCTAACAATGAAAGGGTTCATATACAATCTTCATTTATTCAGGAACCACAACATACTAATAGAATTACCATCCACTTACACATAATAATATGTGAATTATTATTAGTCTAAGCTAATTTTAGATATTTTTTTTATGTTGAATACCTCCTGTCACAAAATGACTTGATCCACTTACAGAATCTCCGAAGAATAGGCTAACCTAATTCTTCAGGCCAATTACAGTACCTAAGAAAAACTGAGAGTTTAAATTAGAATCATAGAAACTATGAAGTTTTCTGGGGGAATTTGCGTTAACTGTTAAGGACAATCCATGAACATGACCTCGGCCCCAGTTTCTATCATGAAGAATAATCTAACAGCGAGAAAAAAACATGAAACCAAATCTTTAATGATTTACAGAATCTCTTGAAATCTTTTAAGGTTTTTGTGCTATCAAAATAAACAATATTAGATTAACTGAAAATAAATGAGTTATGAAAAATCAGGCCTGAACGGGGTGCAGTCGTGATACACTGCCCTAGAAGATAGAGGACCCGCCTGTCGCCCTGACGTAGTTGATCCTCCCCCCTAGCGGTAAAAGCCCCCCGGAAACGGTCGGCCTCTCTACTCGGGCGCGAGTAGCAGAGCTTCTGCTCAGATGAAGATGATTGCCCAAAAATAATCCTCAAAATATGTAGCCGAAAATCTTTGAGTACTAAGAGTAGCAGAAGGAGGAAGAGGGAGCTATGAAATTCTTTGTGAATTTCTGTGTTGATCCTCCCCCCTAGCGGTAAAAGCCCCCCGGAAACGGCCGGCCTCTCTACTCGGGCGCGAGTAGCAGAGCTTCTGCTCAGATGAAGATGATTGCCCAAAAATAATCCTCAAAATATGTAGCCGAAAATCTTTGAGTACTAAGAGTAGCAGAAGGAGGAAGAGGGAGCTATGAAATTCTTTGTGAATTTCTGTGTGTTTTCCCGAATGAACTCTGCCTCCTTATATAGCCTCATGAACCAGTAACCGATGCTGAATCTCCTCGTCCGTTGGGCGTAAATCACGCTGCCGTTACATAATAAATGCTGTCATTCACAATTGCCTTTTCCTTAAGAAAATGCTAACACAGGCTTCTTAACTCCTTGGCCATTTCGGAGTAGGAGAGGAGCCCGTCGTTGTTAGAATTGAGGTAGGCAAACCGGTCCTTTACGGAGTCGGTGAAGGCTGCTTCGTCGTCGACGAAGGCACGGATTGTTGCTCTGTCGAGAATCTCTACCGTGTTGGTGGTCAAAATATATGTCAAGGTCAAAATCCATGACTCCCAGTCTCCCACTCAATTTAAAAAGAAAAGGAAGTCAAAAATATGTTGTGTGCAAAGTCAAAATCCGGTGGATTCAGAGCCAGCGACTTCCTGCATTGAGAACAAAAGGTCGTCATCAGGAGAAAGCAAACCAACTACCGTGTGGTGTCCGAAGGTTCAATTTCTGAGTAGTTTAAGCTCAAAGTAATAGCTGTCCCATTTCACCTATTTTTTGGTTGCAACCTATAAAGAATCCATTTCTTTGCCAGAAATCCCGACTTTTCCTAGA